GGCAGAGTCACTGCCAAGGGCCTGGACAGTATAGCGCCCCCGCAGGAGCCAGAAGTGAAGGCTGTGGGCCTCCAGTCCAGCGCCCTGGTGTCCTGTTCCCCGAGCAACGTGGCCTGGGTCTGCTCGGCTTGTTGGAGGCTCTGACCTCAGCGGAACAAGACACCCAACATCAGTCAGCTCCCCCTTCCTCCCTCTTGGCCTGTTGGAGGCTCTGACCTCAGAGGAACAAGACACGCAGCATCGGTCAGCTCCCCCTTCCTCCCTCTGCTTTCTGCCACCTGTCTGCCGAGGGCACCGGGCACTCCCTCACTTGCATCTCTGCGGGCTGTGCTGGGGCCTCCCCAAGAGCAGCCGGACACTTGGCAAGGGCACTTGAGCCTCTGGCTGTGTCTGCTCATGCTGGCACCATGAGTATCCTGTCTGCCTGGTAGGGAGGGCAGAAGCTGTCCATTATCCGAACGATTTTTCGTGCCTAAGGAAGGAGGGGATGTCACTGATGTCACCTTGGCACCCTGGCTGTTCTCTCCCGTCTGCAGCCTTCTCTCTGTCTCTGGAGTCCACCACCCTGGCTGACCTGGCCCAGTTTCCAGTGTGTAAGCTTCAGACTGATCAACGTTTTAGAGACGTTTCCTGCCCTGGGAGTAGATGGACATGCACTTGATTCCCAAATCCAGGAACTACGAACTCTTTGCCTTGGGCATGTCCTGCCGTCTCCCGGAGCCTTCATTTCCACATCTAAAGAATGAGCTTAACCCCACTGTCCACACAGGTTGGGAGAATGAGATGTGTGGATATCAGAGGGTTGAGCCCAGAGCCTGGCACACAGTGGGCACTGAGTGAGCGTCAGCTTCCCCTCCTTTCCCTTCTTCCCGTTGGGGCTTGGGGCATGCAGACAATTCCAAGGGGCTCACCCAGGGGCTGAGCGGTGTGGTGCAGCAGGGGCTGGGAGGGCACGTGGGCCATGGCTGTGCTGTCTGGGCTCCAACGATGCTTTGCCCACACCTGATGTCCTTTCTAAGAGCAAGGCAGGTGGGATCAGGCTAACTCCAGCTCTGCCTGCCCAGGACTTACTCCTGGAAGGACCAGGGATCCACGGGAGAATGGGAGCTCCCTGCTCCCTCTCCACATCCTCCCTCCATCCCTCATCACATCCTCTGCCCTTGGCCTGAATGATGTCAGCTCGGCACAGACACCTGTGCATCTTTGGTGAAGAAAAGGGACCTCAATGTCAGGTGCAGTTTGCCAGGGCGACCAGATTTCCTGAGTATGGACCAGGGAAGGTGGCAATGGCTGGACTCCCCGGGTGAGAAGGAGGGCTTCTCCCTGCGGGGCACACCTTGTGCCAGGCGAGGTGAGCAGGCTGTCTAGGGCAGCGTGTCTGCTGTCCGGGGCAGTTTGTCGTCTGTGCAGGGCACTGGCTCCCTGTCTTTCTAGGAGCCTGGCACACAGGAGGTGCTCGCTAAATGACTCAGCTTATTTCAGTGTCTTATTTTACTGCTGGGGGTGGTGGAGGTGCTGGAATAAGATTCAACTCCAAAAATGTAAATTAAGCATTGCTATGGCTTGGACAGGCCAGGGGCCTCCTGCTGTGGACAAGCCCAGGGGAGAGCCTTCACCGAGAGGCTGGCTGCGGCCCGTGCGTCTGCTGAGCATGCATGAAGGGGAGGCCATTCAGACAGAAAAGCACGCTAGCCAGAGGCGGGGAAAACGGCTTCTCTCCCAGGGCTTTCAAATGTGGCCTCTTGTGCCCTCCTTGTCTGGGGATGTCTTGGCCCATGTTTCCGCTCCACTTTATCTGTGTATCTGTCCCAAGCCAATGGGTAGCCAGACAGAAAGCTGCCTGAGGCCTCCACCATGGGCCCTGCCGCCTGGGCCACCATGGAGGTGGAGGAGTGGGCCACACTGTCCCCTGGGGAGTGAGCATTTGGGAAACTGGTCACCGCCTGGTCAGGATGACCTGTGTGGGGCAGGGGCAGCAAGGCTGGGGAGCGAAGGCTGATTCTGCTGCCTGAGAGGCCAGTGGAGAGCCAGAGCGGGAGGAGGGAGGTTGGCGCGATGGTGAGGCTGTGGCAAGGGGAAGGACTGGGAAAGGGCAGTCCCATTCTGGGCAGCGGGTGAGGCCGCCTGGCTGTCGGCTGCCCTCAGCGGCTATGGGAGCCCTCACTCACAGAGCGCCTGGCTGGCCTCGAAACCCTGCTGCAGGTTACGTCCGTTTCTGTGGTTCCTGGAAAGTAGAAACAAACTTGGGGGGATGCCAGGAATGTGGGACAGAAAGATCCTCCCACGCCTGGGTCCCACCTGACTCCTGGGAGCTGTGCGGGAGACACCCTGTTTTTCGTGCCTGTCTTCACAGAGGGCCTCTGGTTCCCTGGGGTGCAATGTTTCACTAGGAGCTGACCCAAGCTCAGAGAAGCCTGGAGACCGGGCAGCTGCCTCTGTCCCGGCCAGGTGGCAGAGTGGGGACTTCCAGCAGCCTGCCCCTTGCTCCTCTCCCTGGAGCACAGCGTGTAGCACTGGGGACTGTGTCAGCTGCTCAGGCCACAGTTGAGGAGGGGCGGTGCCGGCTTCCCCCCAGAGAGCATGGGGTCTCCCGCACGCTCTGCCCTCAGCTTGAGTCTGTTTTTGGGCCTTGTCATGTGGATCCGTCCTACATGGCCCCCTCCTTGTTCCCCACTTCCCTTTTCTCTATGCCTCCGCCTTGGACCAGGTGGAGCGGCCACCTCACATCAGTCAAGCTGCCTTTGGCTTTGACAGCACGCCAACTGGAAGAAATGCGTTTTGCTGTCCGTGGAGCTCTCCTTGGGACAATCCTGCTGTCGGCTCTAGTTGAACGGGGGGACCCGCACGTTCCCCAGCGTGGGGCCAATGTGGAGACTCAAGACAGTGTCCAGGTCTGGACTTCAAGTCACCCAGATGGTGTGGGAGGCCCAGAGGGGCTGTAGGCGCCCTCACACTCCCCATGGGCTCTCACGGCTGGGAGCTACAGCACGGCTTGCGAGGGAGAGCAGGACGAAGGCTGGGCCGCATCTGCACCTGCCCATCCAACTCTGCCCCGGGCATCCTGGGCAGGATCTGACCACGGTGGCGCGTCGTGGCACGAGGGGAGGGGCGGTGGGCAGTGGATCTGTGGGTGTGTGGGTGGCAACTTTCAGAAACTACCCAAAGGAATTGCAGAAAGAGCTCAGAGAGGTGAAGAGTTCTTTCTGTTTTTGGAAAGGATTTAAAAACCCTTAAGTGTGATGGTTGATTTCATGGTGGTCTTGGCTAGGTGAAGGGAGACCCAGCTAGCTGGGAAAATGTGAGAGCGTTTCCAGAGAGGTTAGCATCTGAGTGAAGACATCACTCCATCCAGTCTGTTGAGGGCCCAGATAGGACAGAAGGTGGAGGAAGGGAGAATCCTCTCTCTTGGAGCTGGGACAGCCATCATCCTGATTCTCGGGGCGCTGGATGCTGGGACTCACAGGGTGGCCCCTGGCTTCTCAGGCTTTGAACTCAGACTGAGTTAGGGTGTGGCTTCTGGGCTCCAGCTGGCAGATGGCAGATCGTGAAACTTCTTGGCCTCTAGAAATCTGTGAGTCAGTTCCTGTAATGCAGCCCCTCACATATCTACATCTGTGTCTTCTGGGTTCTGTTTCTTTGGAGAACACTCATGAAGAGGTGACACCCCTCCTGGCATCTCCTCAGGAGCTGTTGCTCAGGCTCATTCAGAAGGATGCTCCTCTCTCATCTTGGGGATGACTGATGGCTTGACAAAGGGAGGGAGGGAGGCCTCTTTCCAGAAACCAGGGCTGGCTTGCGAGGACTGTGACCAGAGGAGGGGCAGTGTGGCCCCCGGCATGGCTCGTTAGTGGACACTGACCTACCCACCAAGTGCAGAGGCTGCACTCTCTCCGGCTTGAGTTGGACTTCAGCAGGGAAGGTGGCTGATGGCGGCAGCAGCCAGGCTGGGGACCGCACTGTTGTGGGCACACATGAGTAATTCCCGAGCTCCGAGCTCTCGTTCGGGCTGTAGAACATGTGATGACCTGCCTCCCTCGTCACCAAGCCTAGAGGGACCTCGCTTGCCTGCCTCCATCTGTGCAGTGCTCCGTGTGCCACCGTCCCTCAAACCGTGCTCGGTTCTCGGCAGCCACGCTGGGCCTGGGGGCGACCAGGAGGAACCCGAGAGGCAACTTTGAGCTGAAGACTGGAACTTGTTTTAAGATTCTCCCATGCTACTTGGGATTTTCAGTATTTCTTAACTTGAAAAATACAGGCCATTTCCCATGCTTGTCCAGAGCCCACAGGCAGATGATGAGCAGGCAAGGCCTCTGGACCTCAGAGTTCTGCGGGCTCCATCCCAGGCGCTAGCCTCCGGCCGGGTGGAACACAGGCACCCGGTCACAGCCCAGACTTCTCTTTCTCCCTGCATTCCCCCTGCCCCGCCGCCTTGTGAAGAGGTTCTCGCTTCCCCTTCATCCTCTACCATGATTGCAAGTTTCCTGAAGCCTCCCCAGCCACGTGGAACTGGGAGTCAATTAGGCCTCTTTCCTCGACGTGAAAGGAAAGAGGTTTCCCTCCGAGTGGGGACAGCATGGTATAGTGAGAGGAGGCTGTGCTGGGAGACAGTCAGCTCCGCTCTCTCCCCCCCTCGCTGGGTGCTCTGAGGCCCCTCGTGGTAGCACAGCCTGTGCTCCTGTGAGCAAGGCCTTGCTTCCTGGTGACGTGTGGGCACAGTACGGACCCCAAGATCACTGCCACAGGGTCAGAGCCAAGGCCCCTTCTGCGGTTTATTGCTGGGCCCCTGCACCTCCTAGGAACGGGTCCAAGGGGAAAGCGTCTTCCACTGAGTCTCGTCCGAGGGCAGTGACAGCGCTGGCAAGGGGACTGGGGCTGGGCTGACACTGCAGCAGAGCCTCCAAGCCCAGTTCTCGAAGAATTCCTGTTCTGAAGCAAGTCCAAGGCAAGCTGTGCTCCCCCAGCCCTAGCGGTTCCCAGCCTCACAGAGACAAAGGGCAAAGGCTGGGAGGAGTTGTTTAATCATCCAGGGAGCCTTAGAGCTGCTGGGACTCACTGGGCTCATGTGGGAAGGGATGGGGTCACGATTCATGTTTACAGTGACCAAAGAGCATTTTCCTAAAGTACCCACAAATAGAAGTATATATATATATATTTTATATTTATATTTATATATACAGAGAGAGTACTTCATTAAATGTTCTGTCGAAGGAAAGCAGAAACCTACAGTCTCCTCCCCTAGCAGCTCTGTTCTGCCCCATCACAGAATCCTGGGAGCCCAACAGCCTGGAGCGGTGGCCTTGCCTGTGGTTGGAGGAGTTGGCAGAGCGTGGGGCCCGAGAATGCTGGCACGGGCTCGTCCACCTCCCCCGATGGCGCCTTGGCCCCTCTCCCTCCACCGGGCCTCCTGTCTCGGATGACCACACCTTCCGGATCCTGAAACGCCAGGCGGAGGGTCCCGCAATCCTGCTACTTGCAGTTGGTCCGCCAGGACTCAGGAGAGGGCGCTCTTGGTGTCCTAGGAAGGAGGCGGAGGGAGGGAGGGAGGCTTCCTGAAGCAGGGTGCTCCCACTGGGGTGGTGGGTCTGAAGGGTGCCTGGGCTCGGTCTCCACGGGCTGGTCGGCTTCCCTGAAGGGGAGTGCCATGGGGTTCCCAAGGCGATGTGGAGGCCTGTGCAGCTCCCGCTGTGGAGGGCAGGTGCCCCCTCCATGGACCAGGCCAGCCCCAGGCAGGGCCACTCCCCGCCGGTTATTTGTAGGGCCGCAGGAACCGAGACACTTTGGAGCGCAGCAGTTTGATGAAGGACCGTGGGAACATCTCCTTGGACTCCTGGGCTGTGTACTTGAAGTAGTTCTGGGGATGGGCCAGTACGTCAAACAGGGCCTTGATCAGCTTCTTGTCCTGCAAGATAGAGTGGGCGGGAGAGGTGGGGGAGGCTTGCGCCCGCAGGGTCTTCGGGGCGTTGCCAGGCTGAGTGAGTTGGGCTGGCTGGTAGGTTTCAGGACCCCACAGAGCTTCTTTTGGTTTTAATAGTGTAACTGGTTTTTATTTATTTATTTATTTTTTGAGGCAGAATCTTGCTGTGTCACCCAGCTGGAGTGCAGTGGGCTGGAGTGGATCTCAGGTCACAACACTCCGCCTCCTGAGTTCAAGCAATTCTCCTGCTTCAGCCTTCCAAGTAGCTGGGACTGCAGGCACATGCCACCACACCTGGCTAAGTTTTATCTTTTCAGTAGAGACAGGGTTTCACCATGTTGGCCAGGCTGGTCTCAAACTCCTGACCTCAAGTGATCTACCTGCCTCGGCCTCCTAAAGTGCTGGGATTACAGGCGTGAGCCACCACACTCAGCCCATAACTGGTTTTTAAATAGACCATTGGCATTAACTCTTGGGATTCCAATAAGATTTTATTAAAGGTCAGGTACAGTGGCTCATGCCTGTAATCCCAGCACTTTGGAAGCCGAGGCGGGCAGATCACCTGAGGTCAGGAGTTTGAGACCAGCCTGACCAACATGGTGAAACCCCATCTCTACTAAAAATACAAAAATTAGCCACATGTGGTGGCAGATGCCTTGCAATCCCAGCTACTTGGGAGGCTGAGGTCGGAGAATCGCTTGAAACCGGGAGGTGGAAGTTGCAGTGAGCTGAGAGTGCGCCACTGCATTCTAGCCTGGGCGACAGAGTAAGACTCCTTCTCAAAAAAGAAAAAAAAAAAGATTTTATTAACAAAGGGTTCCAAAACAACACAACCAACATTTGCAAACAGAACACTCAGCCAAGAGCACAGGCTTTGTAGCCAGCAGATCCCGAATCATCACTTCAGGCCTGCTCGCTGGCCCCTGAACCTCGGGGACACCGCTCTGTGCTCTGCATTTCATTCTTCCCTGCACAGAGAGGTCATGATGCCTCTTCCCGGGGCTGCGAGGAACATGACCTGTACTGGCGTGAGCAGAGAGCCTGTCCTCAGCGGTACAGGTTTGCCGCGGGGATCCAGGCAGCAAACGGGGGACTGTTTTCCCTAAGCGGCCTCTGGAGAGCAGACGCAGTCCCTGCCCTCTCTGAGCCCGTGTCTCGTCTCTCTAGTGGGGCACTGGCTGCCACGCTGGGCAGAAACTACAGAGCAGAGGTAAGAAGTCTGGTGGAGGCCTGGTTCCTGACGGAGTCCCCAGAGCCTGGCCCAGGGAAGCTGCTCAGTAAATGGCGATTACCACCACTGGGGCATGAGGGCACCTTGTCCTGGTAACTGTGGCTGCATTCGCTGTCTCTGGGGCGGACCTGGCCTGGCGCACACACTTCTCTGTGTACACACCCACCACACCCCACACACATCTAGCACACCTCCATGTACCCCTCATATACACACCACACCCACTCACCACACACTCACCCCTACACACATACCCACCACACCCCCATACACACACCATACACCCACTCACCACACACTCACCCCTACACACACCCACCACACCCCCATACACACACCATACACCCACTCACCACACACTCACCCCTACACACACCCACCACACCTCCATACACACACCATGCACCCACTCACCACACACTCACCCCTACACACACCCCCACCACACCCCCATACATACACCATACACCCACTCACCACACACTCACCCCTACACACCCCCACCACACCCCCATACATACACCATACACCCACTCACCACACACTCACCCCTATACACACCCCCACCACACCCCCATACATACACCATGCACCCACTCACCACACACTCACCCCTACACACCCCC